GTGATGTAGTTGTATCTTGCTGTATGATTCGGTTTGGAACGTGCAGTTCTCATGGTTCCTCTCAAGTCTGACTCAGGACATAGTTCTCCAATGAATAGCATGCGGATTTCTACCCAGAAGCTCTTAAGATACAAAGTGTGATGAAACCTATCTCTAATCAGACCTAAAAACCATGAAGATTGTTTTTAGCTGAAAGTATGAGTCTTGGCTCATAAAAAGATTAACTTTCTCGTGTACAAATGTAGCTAGTTTGTTCAATCTACTGCAAAGGCATATTATCCTGGATGTTACCTTGTTGTTGCTAATGGATTTGATATTTTATTGCCTGTTTTCCTGCCCTTTGTTCCCAGTCCCGACATGGCCAAGGGGTGGACTCTGCCTTCACTGAGATCCCGCTAAACAACCTTAACTGACAACCAAACTAACATATGAGACAAATATGTGACCCTTACAGCCACTTTTATTTTCTCATGATTTTTGACCTTTGCCTGACAAAGCAGCCAGTGAAGCTTCCGAAGCTTGCATGGTGTGTTTTGTGCTCTTGGGTTGGCTCAATAATGGTATCACTGCTTTGTAGTGTTTGGATTTTGTTTTTATTTTGCTGGATGGACAACATGGCTACCCTAAATATGTTTCCAGATACAGCATTACCTTTGTTGTCATTGTTGCATGCCTTCAAGTTGTTCCCAGTATATGAAGTTTTTATGGCAAGATTTGTTCAGAGGACATTATTTTTCTCTGAGGCTGAGAGGCTGTGACTTGCCCAAGGTCATCCAGTAGGGATTTGAACCCTGGTCTCCCAAAGTCCTAGCCTGGCACTCAAACTAATACACTACATTGCCTCAGATTACTTTTATTAGGACAAATTATTGTTATACTGTAGGTTTTGTTCTTATGGACTAACACAGCAATATTTTATTCCCAGACTGCTGCTCATCTATTATTTTAAATTCCATAACCTCCTTGGTCAAGGTATTTCAAGAGACATTGCTTCTTACAGCTTGCTTGTCAAGTATCATTCTGCTACAGCTCAAAACTCACTGCTGTTTTCCATTTGTTAATGTGTCATGCTGTATATTCATTGAGCAGCAGGTTAGAGATCTTTTCTCGTACTGCCTCAGCTCCTTTATGACAGTGACTTTGTGCATCTTATTTGACACTTTTTTGTTGAAGCATGAAGGATTCCATATTCCCTGCTCTGCCAAGTCATTTTAGACCTAAACTGTATTGTTACCACCTCCATAAAAGAAATACTGCAGATTTTTTAAAAAATATATGGATATTACATCAGATAGAGATAAATATGTCACATACTAATCTATAGAAAACTGATGTTTGTGAAGATAGCAACTGTATGCCTAGAAGACTACAGTGGGCCCTTGGTATCTGCTGCAGTTTGGTTCCAGGACCCTCTTGGATACCCAAATCCATGGATGCTCAGAGTCCCATTAAATACCATGGCATAGTGAAATGGTGTCCCTTGTATAAAATGGCAAAATCAAGGTTTGCTTTTTTGGAATATATGTTTTAAAATTATTTTTAAACTGTGAATGCTTGAATCTGTGGATAAAAAATCTGTGGATATGGAGGGCTGACTGTATATGACTGTCACAACAGAATAAACCCATCTGGACGAGATACCTCCATTTTGCATTCTTATTTCACCCACCTTTGTTGAAAATTGCAGATTTCTGTTATTTCAAAATATTTATGGTTCCATAGCAAGCACAAAGCCTTATGTTCAGTTATAAGCAGCTCCCTTGTACTCCAGACAGCCTTTCCTCCTAAGAGTATTAATAGCAGCAATGGTTACTGCAGCATAGTGGACTTCTACTACTGTTAACTATAAGATTTTCAACAGCAGGTGCATTAAATTCAATCTGCTGTGATCTACTTTATATCTCCCCAGATCTTCCATGATGCAAAGTGAGTTAAATATACAAAGCAAAAGTGAATACTAAGGATCTCTTGCAGAGTAAAAGTGGAACTAATCTGTGGCAAAGTCTACACTCTTGCAGAAAAAAGTTCACCTCTGTAAGAATTCCAACAGACATTAAGCATTCCACTGGAAACTGGTCAACTATCTTCTACCTTGTTGTGCAACCAGTTCAGGCATTTAGTACAAGCTATTTGAAGCTGCCACTGATTCTTAAAAGTGGAAGAGTACTGCCTAATATAGCAAGTTGGTAAAACCGCCGTTTTACAGTTTCACAGTACTATACTTTGAAAAAACCTAAAAAACTGGTATCTGTCTTTGACATTTTTATTGTATTGCACTAAGGAACAGCAAAGATATTTACCCAACCTTGTTGCATATGTGCCTCTCTATGCAGTTCTATCTTTTGTTACCATGTTTGATTCAGGATGTATGGTACTTTTGAGACAGTAGCACAAGATGTTATCTTTTTTTTAAAATAAAAGTTAAAATGTATCCTTTCACCAACAACCCTGTTTCCTTCAAAATATCCACATAGCTTGGAAAATTAAAACATGGGGCATTGACTTCATTGCTTGCTGTAAATATGGAAAGTTTGAGCCATGCACATTACAGGGACAGAATATCCAAATAGTAAAAAATAGAACTTACAATTATTCCTGTGATTGTACTCATGTATTCATCTATAAGACACATAAAGGTTACCTAAGATATAACATACAGAAAAGGGTTCGGTCCTTTAGAAGCACTTTGTACTTGCAGCTGACATCTAGATGGAAGTCCGTAACCCAACTGAGCCACTATAAAGTCCAGTAAACAAAACAAAACAAAACCTTCTAATATACTAAGGGACAGCAATTAATACAATTATAATCCAAGGTATGGCTGTTCCTTATGGAGTGCAGGGCCAAAACTGTCCAAAACCAACTGCTTTACATTAATTTATAGTGTAATACTTGTCACTTTATACGCTCCAGTAATTTTTTGCTTTTAAAGTCTTTCCATGAGTATAGACATATTTTGGGATGGGGGAAAGAAGACAGTATGTCATTTTCCCCTGACTGAAACTGTGATCACCAGATTCCATAGCTAAATCTTGATACCAGATTCTTCGAAAATACTCCTTTGTTTTGTGGCTTTTCTGCATGCACGTTGCTGGAACCAAATCTGCCAGACATCACCATTTAAGAGCTCACCAAAACATAAATCATGCTGTGGAGAAAAGGATAGGCAGTAAAGTACACATATATGTATCTGTTACATTTAACATTTGTATTATACAGGCATCTATATGATAAATGTTTACCGCTAAGATTATGGAGTATGCTAAAGCCAGAGGCTTTAATTGGTGTGTTCATTAGCACCCCAGCTAGGAAAGCTGTTAAACACACCATCTATCCTTCCAATATTGTGGTTAGAGTAGCAGCCACCATTTTAAATTTCTACCAATGAACTTGTGGCATCGTCCTCGTCTCCTTATGAGCTCATTCACCTTTTCAGATTTACTGGCAAGGCCCTGGTCTAGAAATTAGTTACAGATGTTTTCTAGGCTAGGACTTGTCAGCTGAAATGACCAGATTACAGAACTTCACCCACCCCCTGCTAAAAGGGAGATGCACTAAAGATTAATTCTGTACAGCAATTTACAGACAATGTAAGATGAATGGGCTCTGGGACTTTTGATTTTAATTGCTGATAGGCACCAGATCCTGTCTGATCTTGGAAGCTAAACAGGGTGAGCTCATGTCAGTACTTGGAGGGGAGACCGCCAACCAAGACCAGGTGTTGTAGGTTGTACTTCAAAGGCAGGAACTGGCTAAACCAACTCTAAGTATTCCTTGACCATGAAAATCCTATGAAATTTTTGGGGTTGCCATAAGGTGACTTTAAAGCACATACATACAGGTTGTTTTCGTGTGCCTTCAAGTCATTTCTGACTTATGATAAGCCCTGGTGGTGCAGTGCTTAAACGCTGGTACTGCAGCCACTCACAAACCACAAAGTTGTGAGTTCAATCCCAGCCAGGGGCGGGTCAACTCAGACTGGCAAGGTTGCTAAAATGAGTACCCAACTTAATGGGGTCAGTTAGCTTACAGTTGTAAACGGCTTAGAGCAGTGGTTCTCAACCTTTCTAATGCCGTGACCCCGCAATACAGTTCCCCATGTTGTGGTGACCCCAAACCAAAAAAAAAATTTGGTGGCTACTTCAAAACTGTAATTTTGCTACAGTTATGATTCGGAATGTAAATACCTGATATGCATTATGTATTGTCATTGCTACAAATCAAACATAATTTAAACATAGTGATTAATCACAAAAACAATATTTAATTATATGCTGAGAAATGTGGTTTGGCACCATTAATTCCCCTGGCTCAGTGCTTTAACTTTAACCACCCTGGCTCAATGCTATCGAATTCTGGGAATTGGAGTTTTGTGAGACATTTAGCCTTCTCTGTCAGAGAGCTCTGATGGCAGAATAAATTGTAATTCACAGAATTCCATAGCACTGAGCCAGGGTGGTTAAAGTAGTCTCAAACTGGATTATTTCTGCCATGTGTTTTGGCCCGCAAACTGCCATGGCTCAATGCCATGAAATCCTGGGGTATGAAATTTATTGTGGCAGCAGAGCTCTTTCACAGAGAAGGCTAAATGTCCCACAAAGTTACAACTCCCAGAATTCCATAGCATGGAGCCAGGTCAGTTAAAGTAGTGTCAAACTGTATAGTTTCTGTAGTGCGGATGCAGCCTACCTGAGGTGCTTTGGCCATG